GCAGCATCTCCACGGACACATCGGACGGATCCCAAGGGTCCGCCTCGATGACAACAATGTCGCCGACCATGAGTGCGGTGGAAGGCTCGACTACAGCGGTGAGTCTCCCTCCCTCTCTCTCTCTCTCTTTCTCTCTCTCTCGCTCTTCTCCCTTCTTCTCCCCGGCGCTCTCTGTTCTTGGCAACGGACAGACAACGAAGAGTAAGGAGGGAAGGGGCGAGCCCCGTTTCGTATTTATGCAGGGTAAGGACGAAACGGACAAGCGACGAAATCGGGGAAGTTTTCCTCGAGTTCAGGGATGATTAATCTAGATCTGATTCTACCGCCCACGGGCCCACCTTTTCCTCATTAATCGCGGGAACAATTACGTCCCATCCACTGATGCCACGTCATGTCCAACCGATGCAGCAGCAGACGTCGTTCCGCCCCCCCAGGAAATCGCCTAAAAAGGCGAGCCGGCCGTTGTCGAATCAATGGGGGAAACATCCCCCCACCCTATTCCTTTCAGGTGAAGGAACTAGGTGCCGAGCCCGTTACGGTCCAGGGGTTCGTAGGCTGGGCCCCTGAGGGTTTCGACAGCCGCCCCAGGACGGCAGAGTCAGGGACAACTATGGGCGAGCCCGTACATGGCCGAGACCCAAGCAAACGCAACGCTTGGGATGCCCTAAGTCGTGTCCGAGACTAGCAGGGAGTTCTCCGAATGGGATCCCACCGTAGGGAGGCGCCGAGCCCCTAGGGCCAATCGAACGGCCCTGGGACCCAATAGAGAAGCCCTGTGGTACCTTTGGAGTGCGTCTCTGGACCGCTAGCCGACCCTTATCGAATGGGGCATGGGCCTCCACTCGGACTTACCCGATAGCAGCTCACCGGAAGTGTCACCGCTCGCGCCCACTGAGGGTAGCCTGGCATATTCCACCCCTCCTTCCGAGCGAAAAGGATGCGCGAGGGTCGCATAAAAGGCCAGGGGAACTCCCGACCGCCCTCTCACTCCGCAAGGAGGCTCGGGCTCTCCTCTCCCACAAACCTTGCCGAGACCCAAATGACCTAGGCTCGCCCTCGAGGGGGTTTCGGCAAACAAACCCCTCCTTCCGAACGAAAAGGTTGCGCGAGGGTCGTACAAAAAGCCAGGGGAACTCCTGACGGCCCTCTTGCTCCGGACAGAGGCTACGAAGCTCTTCCTACAAATATGCCGAGGCCCCGCGACCCAGGCTCGCCCTCGAGGGGGTCTCAGCAAACAAACCCCTCCTTCCAAACAAAAAGGTTGTGCGAGGGTCGTACAAAAAGCCAGGGGAACTCCTGACGGCTCTCTTGCTCCGGGCAGAGGCTACGGAGCCTCTTCCTGTAAAATATGCTTTGGGTCCCACGACCCAGTGCTCGCCCCGAGGGGTCTCAAGAAACAAACCTCACGCACGTGAGAGAGGCGATAAAAGCCGTGAGCACCCGACGGCCCTCTCTCGCTCCGTGCAGAGAGGCTAGGGGGCTCTTCCTGCAGGTTTGCCGAGACCCAGCGACCCAGGTTCGCACACGAATGGGCTCGGCAAACAACCCCCTGACCGCCCTCTCACTCCGTGTGGAGGCTCGAGGGCTCCTTCTGCACTCAAAACAAGGACAAGCCACCTAGACCCGCACTCATGGATTCGGAAAAAAGCAACAAAAAGGGCGCCGAGCCCGTTACGGTCCAGGGGTTCGAAGGCTGGACCACCGAGGGTTTCGACAGCCACCCCAGGACAACAGAGTCAGGGACAACTATGGGCGAGCCCGTACATGGCCATGGCCCGAGCAAACGATCGTTCGGGATGCCCTAAGTCGTGTCCAAAACCAGCGGGAAGTTCTCTGAATGGGATCCCACCGTAGGGAGGCACCGAGCCCCCAGGGCCAATCAAACGGCCCTGGGACCCAATAGAGAAGCCCTCCGGTACCTTTGGAGTGCGTCTCTGGACCGCCAGCCGACCCTTATCGAATGGGGCATGGGCCTCCACTCGGACTTACACCTGATAGCAGCTCACCGAAAGTGTCACCGCTTTCATACCCACCGAGGGTAGCTCGGCATATTCCACCCCTCCTTCCGAACGAAAAGGAAGCGCGGGGTCATATAAAAAGCCAGGGGGAACCCCTGACGGACCTCCCCCCTGCAGAGAGGCTAAGGGCTCTCCGTGCAACTTTGCTGAGACCAACGACCCCTGTGTTCGCACTTTCGAGGGGCTCGCAAACAAACCCCTCCTTTCGAACGAAAAGGTTGCGCGAGGGTCGTACAAAAAGCCGGGGAACTCCCCGACGGCCCTCTTACTCCGGGGCAGAGGCTAGGGAGCTCTTTCTGAGATGCCGAGGCCCAGGACTCTAGGCTCGCACCCGAGGGGGTCACAACAAAACAAACCCTCATGCGCGAGAGGCGTATAAAGAGCCAGGAGAGCACCTAACGGCCCTCTCGCTCTGTGCAGAGGCTAGGGGGCTCTTCCTGCAAAGTTTGCCGAGACCTAGCGACCCAAACTCGCATTCACGGGCCCGGCAAGCACGATGAGACCCCTTGCTCAACGGAGAAAAAAGGCCCCAGAGGAGTAAACCCACCTCTCCAGGGGCCTCGGGTTACACTCATGGTTGCACTCACAGCACTCCACCCACCGAACCACCAAGTACAAAACACGATCCCGACAGGAGCTGTTGCGAACCAAGTCTCGTCAAAAACCTCAGGAGAGTGCCCGCACTCCTCCCGAGGCTCGGGGGCTACTGTCGGATACCACAAGAAGGGGTACCCTAAGCAAGATCCAAGAATATTGCTTAAGCCTTGCTAAAACCAAAGCCAAAAGACTACTGCAAGGTCTTGGCAGAATTCTCCGATTCGCTTGAGGCCTTGCGCCGAGGCCTCATGCGAAATAGCCCTAAAACGTCCCGCCGAGGCCCTCTCGCCGAGACCCTCTCGCCAAGGCCTCACCCCGAAAGGCCTCGGACGGATCTCCAATTCTCCGATTTGCTCGAGGCCGGGCTCGGCGAACGTACTCGTAACCTCCGTCCCGACCGAACTCCTCTGGTAAAACATCACGTCCGGATTAAATGCACCCAACCACTCCCGCAAACATCAGCCGCACGTAGGTACAGTGCGGGCAGAACAACTGACAGGACAGGGACCGGGCACAGCAGGGGTTACCTGCCACTATACTCACCACTGTGCTCCCCCCTGACACTTATACTGCCCTGTGCTACCTAACCCCTACGCCAAGGACAAAGCGGCATGGAAGGTCGAGTCCATGTCCTCAGTAGCCTCGGAAATGGCAGAGAGAGCCCAAATGCTTTCGGTCTCGCCTCATCCGAGACCCCCGCAAGGCCTCGGACGCGCCATTCCTTCTCCGCCTCGGCGAGGCCGGGCTCGCCCCGCATTCTCGCCGCCTCCGCCTCAATTGCCCTCTCGGCGGGCCGTCCCATCCGTGTAAGTACCCCTAGTTACGCCTACGTCAGCCACAATTGGCAGGGTATGGCAAAAGGGGCGATGGGACGGCGGTCAAATCACCTTTTTACCATCCCCTACTGACGGTGCAGAGACTACAGCTCCCTGCGGATGCCCATTCCGCACTTTTTCACCGGAATCGGGACGACACAGCACCACCGAGACCCCGCGTCATACACAGTCACCTCCAGACCTCGGCAAAGAAGGTCTCGCACGATCGACTCCCAAAGACCCGCTAGGCCTCGGCACTCCACCAAGACAAGAGTCCACACGAGCACGGCATGTCACCTACATAAAGGAGGCCATACCGACTAGACGTCAACAAGGACTCTTACGACTTCAACAATTCCTCGGGCATGGCTCGTGGACGACCGGTGATCAAGTACCAATTGCCATTCCCGACAATCGCCTTTTACAAGCACTTCGTGAATAGGCCACAAGATCGGATCTTCCTTTCTCGCTAAGGCTCCACGTGTAGCTCTCTCATGTACTCCTGGCTCTCTGCTTGTAGCTATAAAAGGAAGCAGCCAGGGCCGTTTCTAGGGATCGAAACCACGCAAGCCCTCATGCAAGAAAGCACGGGCTTGATCCTATTCTAAGCTGCAGCCTTGTTCTTCATTGATCTTCTCGACGATCTGATGAGCCGCAGCTGCAATCTCATCCACAGAGGTAAGCTGGCAATCATCCTCCACCTGTATTCACCATATGATGATATCCATCAGCAGAAAGTCAAAGAATTGCCAATTTGATCTGCTCCATGATATAAACCATAATGATAAACAGACGGGGGAATTTGGAGCAGCTGTTGGAGACAATGCAAGATCCAAAAAAAGGCACGGAAACCTAGGCACCAACTTTGCCTCCCGACTCCATCCAAGCGTGGTATTGCGAACCAGGTACGAGCACTATACTCCTTGGACTGAGAGCCATGTAGTATATCTACTATCGGGGAGCTGCCCGCCTGTAGTTGTTTACGAGGAAATGTAGCAAGAAGGTTGTGGATGGCGTACCTTGAGGCTAAACGAGTAGAGCACCATGTGGCCGGCGCTGCTCATGTTGAGGTGGAGCACGGTGAGGCGGTGGCCCTGGAGTCCCAGCACCAGGCGCAGCCGCTGCCTCGGCCGGCGCCGGGACAGCACCCGAAGGTTCGCGTGGCTCTCCACCATGGTCGCCTCCACGTCGGCCACGGCCGACGGCTTCGACCCGGACGACTCCTCCTCTAAGCCGGCGCCCTCACGGTGGTCGGTGTTCTCTGGGGCCGCGACGACAGCGCACATCGAGTACTGCGGAAAGGTGAAGAAGTCCGCGAACGGCCCTGCGTCGTCGGGATCGACGTCGTCGGCAGGGCGCCGCCGGGAACGCCTCTGCGCCTCCAGCGACTGGAGCAGCTGCTCCAGCTCCTTGACGAAGTTGATCGCGCCGCCGACGATGGACGCCTGATCGCCCTGCACACACGGGACACCGAAACGCGCGCTCAGTTTGGCGCATCGTCGTGCTAGATTGATTTATTGCTAGGACTAGGAAGGTGTGCATGCGATCGAAATCGAAGCTCGTCGGTTACCCGTTGCGTGTAGGCGGGCGGCATGAGGGAGCGGAGCGAGGCGAGGTACTCGTTCATCTGCTTGCGGCGGTTGCGCTCCACGGCAATGTGGATCATCCGCTGGCTCTCCACTTCCTCCTCGTTCTTCACCGGCCTCGTCCTTCGCCGCTTCCTTCTCCCGGACGCCGCTGTCGCAGTCACAGCCAGTGCCGGGGCATCCTGACCGGTGCCGCCACTCGCACACCTCCCGGACGCCACAGGCAGCGCGCGGGCAGCCGGGTTGTCACCCAGCTCACGCAGGAGCTGCGGCGGTGAGCACGCGGCCACGTCCCAGCCGCCGCCAGCGCCACCCATCTCCACCACCCCCTCCATTCCACTAAACAACAGGCCACTCCAAGGCCCTCCTGCTGCCATGGCACCGCACCCAAAGCGACTGCCTTTCTGGGACTGCTGCTGGGAAAGCACCACGGCCTCCAGTGCCATCCCTTCAGGGTCTCGCCTCTCAAGAAACCAGCAGCAGCAGCGTGTGCAGACTCACTCGAGCTAGAATCCGAGAAAAGTTAGGCCGTCTCTCCTCCCATGGGATCGCCGCCCGCCCGGCCGGTGAGCCGTTCGGAGCGGTAGTTGTGGCGGCTTCTTGTAGCAACAGGTTGTGGCACTACGGGGCTGGACTGGAGGGACACGTGAACACAGCTGCGTTCGGGAATCGGGAATGGCAACGAGATAGTACGAAAGAGACGGGGGTCGGGCTCGGTCGGGTATATAAGATTGGCTGATGGTAGGGTTTGGAAGGGAGCGGGTTTTGGTGTGATTAGGCTATAATTTGGTCGCCTGGCAACGGCGCCAAAAATGAGGCGTCCGGCATGGGCAAAGGGGGGACAGATTGATGGACACATGGGACTATTCAGCTGGGAAAAAAGCTAGTTGTTGCCTTTTTACCTTTACCAAGTTACACCGCCATATCGCTCCTGATATAAAATATTCTTCTAGAAAATATTCGGATGTTCGAATGGGAAATCCACGATGGATTGATGAAATAGTGTTTTCTCAAAGTAAACAAGAGAACGTGGTTTTGGAAGAAGCATGTATGTCGCGATCTTAGTTCATATAAAAGGTTGGCGCATATTGTGGTATAGGAAAAGAAGAGCAACAAGGAAAAGTTAGTCCTGTATAGTCGGGAGTGGTTAGAAAAGCCTGAGTGGACGTCACATCCCAAGCCCTGTGTCCAGCTCGACCACTCTACGCACGCCGGTCACTATTGCCGCGTGCCCTGCGGACGCCGTCAGTGTCAGGGTCCACTAGCACCCTGTCCTCGTGTAACCACGGCATTATGCCGCATCCACCGTACTCGTGCACTGTTCGCTTCTCCTTTTCCTGACATCCGGTCGGCTCTCGATCCTCGCCCTCGTCCCCGTACTGGACCCGCGCCCCTCCTATTTTCCCCTTTTGGGGACACGGCCGCCGCACGTCTCCCTCGTCGAGCGAAACCCCTCTCCTCTCCTTTTTCCTCCCTTCACTCAAGCTCGCGCAGGGATTCCAAGGACCTCCCCGTGGTAAAGGCAAAAACATTCGATGGTTTGGTTGCAAAGTTACTGGCGGTAGGAATAGTACGCATAGTAGTCGTATTAATCTCTGAAAGCTTGGGGGCCTTTCTTCAAAAAACGGCCAACGCGCGCGGGCGCCCCCGGCCTTGGGCCATACTGGGCCGCCACGACGCGCGCGCAGCCCCGCGCGGCTGCCGGGCGTAAAAGGGTTGTTGCCGGCCCTTTATTTTTTCTAATGTATTTTCTAATTTAGTTTCTAAGGTAAATTCGTAAATTCAATAAAAAATTTTGTAGTTAACCAAAAATTATGAAACCAATTTTGTTAAGTTTCTAAAATCGTGATCTATCTGCTAGTATATTTTGTTCACATAGTTTTATAATATTTTTAGGAGTTATCTAATTAATTTAAGATGCTTAATATTGTAAGCTATAAACTTGTAGAAATTTTTGTGATAAATTGGTGATAGTGTTGGCTCTGAAACTTTCACAGTAAATTCCTAACATTATTAAGTGCTCACTATAATTTTTGTAGGTCCATAAACATTAGTTTGCTAAGTTAGCTAAATGAGCCATAGATCGAAAATATACATTTAATCAATAAAATGCCGAAACACTTTGGGATCTTAGAACTAAATATTTTTTCAGAGGCAAAGCCTTACTTGACGACGTGGATACGTAGAGTAGTACGTTAGTCATTAAAGCTAGCTCGTTAGCTTACGGAGCGTAATCGTATTTTAGAGTTGCAGTTACCGTTAATTAATTGCATCTCTGTGTTGCATCAACGCATATCATAATAGGAACAACGATGAATCATGTAGATGATCGAAGTTGCGGAAAAGATGGTGCCTGATGATCGTGTCACCACGATGAAATGCTAACTTTTGGTTATATCTTACCCAGGCAAGTCCCGGTGCATAACCCCTATTATTCTGTACTTTATTTTATGCTTGTGCATTAAGTTTTAAGGAGTTGAATGAAACCCGTTGCATATATATATCCTTATCCTGTGAGTGCTACTAGTATGTCAGGATCATGTAGATTGCTTTGCTATAGGATTCGGTAGAGGTCGAGTGATTATCTGTCACTCGCGAGAGATAGGAAATATATTATTGTTGTTATTATATTACTATCACTTGGAATATATGTGGATGATAATTGAAGACCGGACGGAATGATACTTTGGATTTGGACTTGGTTAGGCATTCAATGCGAGGCTCGGATTGCATTTGTTCCGCCTGTGTCGATTGAAGACCGTCCGATGCTGTGGATGGTAGTTAAGTCACAGACTTATTATGCTGAGCACATACTTGTTTATGCGAGCAGGATGGCTCGCTATAGTTTTGTCGTGGGTTCCGGCTTTTTCCGGACCGGCTTATTAGAGACGGGGAAAGGTGTAGGTCTAAGCATCATACTGAGACCGGGTCTCAAGTGTGGGGGCTTGGAATCCAAGTTTGGACGGGGACCTGGACCCCTTGACATGAGTGGAGTGGGTTGGTCTTATTTGTGTCTGGGGTACAAACATGGCATGTGTTTCGGGGTACAAGCTGGGATACATTGGTTCGTGAATTGTCGTTTCTGTGAAGACGGTACCGACTTGGATATGGTTTGGCACCGTAGTAAGAACTGGAATATGAAAGATGATAAAATGGTTCTGATTGCTCTCTACCTGCTTGAAAGTAGCATATGTGCTTACATAGAATGGTTAGTTAATGAACTGATGATGACTGCTAATAAAATTGAATATAAAGACGCACGTTTAGTAATGCGTCCTACAGATGCAATAAACCACAAGCCAAATAAGCCTTGCATATCCTTGAAATCTTTTATTTTTTTTGTCGGGTAAGTCTTGTTGAGTACAATCGAGTACTCAGGGTTTTATTTCCCCTATTGCAGGTGATCGGAGAATACTTAGAGCTGACTCTTGTGTGTGAAAACCTCCTAGTGGGCTCAGAGAGAATTCCTTTCCCGCTACGACCGTAGTATTTATTTATAACCATCACTAAAGGTTTTTATAAAAAAAGATAAAAAAATATGCTAGCATTTCTTGTATAAAAATGTCCACAATATTAATGCCCCACTATATCATTAAATTAATTTTTGCTTCATCTGTAACTCTGACAACATTGTTATATTATGCTGTTATAATTCATTGAGGTAATATTATGTTACTGTAATACAGTGATGTATGAAATGATTTAAGAATATTGTAAGCTTTATTCTCTAATTTATGATTTTGATAAAAAAAAATATGGATTTTCGAGTTCTCCCTTGGGGTGTGCTCGACGGAACTGCGTAGTTTAGTGTCCTCTCTTGAGTTCTTAGTGTCTAATGGAATACAAGTACTCCTGAAAGGCATTAGATTAGACGGTTCTGCCACACTTGTAATGGAACCTACCTACAAGGGTTCCAGTCATTGATTTGATACAGGGGCTAGCTATATTCAGATTTAGGGCGCGATTGGTAGGTTTCAGATTCTCGTATAAATGTTTCTCTGATGAATTGAGTCATTTCGTGAGACCATTTGGCTAGCTCTCTAGATTCTTGGCACTAGAACTAGAATCAGGATAAACTAGGTTTTGAGTGTTTCTTCGGACCAGTACAAAACGATAATCGGATAAAAAGTGATTCTCTCTGAAATGTTTCCCTCTTTTTATGGTGTTTGGTACCGATTCTGGTGACTCTATTAAGAATTTGAAATGCTCCTAGTTGCCGAACACACTCTTACTCTAGAATTTAATGACATTATTCTTTTAGTGGTTGTTGACATGCCCATCGACAGTAAGATGTCTATGATGACTTGGTTCAAACTCTAAGATGCTCATAGAGATAAAGGTGTGTTTGTGTGCATTTTTGGTGTGAGTGTGCAAAACTAGAAAGCCATGGAACTAAGACGTTGTTTGGTTCATCATATTTTCCCCGTTATTAATTCACATGGCTAATAGATCACACTCCTTTGCGTTTGGTTGGACTAAATACGTAAACCTATAGCAACGGGATCAGATACAAGTTGTACAAGACTGATACCACTGAACTCTCAACTCCGAGCATTAAACGATTACGCTGCCGACTCCAGCGTTAAAAAAAGCGAACCAAACATTTTTGCCCTTTGCCAGCCATAGCATATTTTAGAATATTCCCCGTTTACAGTGATCAACCCCAGGGGCATCTGAAACTTTCTCACACTACACCGCCTTATTGCATGGGCCCTTCGTCGAGTTGTGTTGGAGGTCCATTGGACCCTTCGAGATTGTTGGGAGTCTCCAAATACGGCGGCGATACTTTGATCCAAATGTCATGGTCCACCAAGGCTTCATGCACTTGCCGGAGGCGGTGGATCGATGACCTTCGTCGCCGCTTAGCGAAGGCCCCCGCCGCCAATGATCCTCGAATTCGCCAACAGGCCTTCAACCGCTGATGGCCTCCTCGGCCTTTTACCGAGGGTCCAACCCTGCCCGTGCCTTCTTCCTTGGTTGGGCCCTCCACCGATCTTGCGCTGACAAAATTAAAACTTAAGGAGCTACGTTAAAGTCTGGTTGGAGAACTATCGGGTCTAAGCCTTTATTTGCTCCCAACAATTACCGAGGGTGAGGCTAACGCAGCGAGCCTGACCTCGAGTCCCGGCGTTAGGTTTGGGCTCGAGGCTTCTCCTTCCTCCCGGGCTGCTCGTTTGTGTTGGACTGCGCGCCGCGTTCACTTTTGACATGTGAAACGCGGTTGGTCTTCCTAGCGCATGTTGTTGAAATGGCCAGGCGAATGTTTGCTCATAGGATGACAGAAGTTGGACTGTCCCTTGGGCGACTATATATATATAAGGAGACCGGAGGCACCCCAGTCGCTTTCGCTGTGGTAGAAAACAACTTCGCTTTGTGTTGTGGGCTTTGTTTTTGCGAGGATCCTGTTGTGAGGGTTTGCCTTTTGGAGGTGGCTATGTTTCGTTGA